CCTATTCCTCTCTCTCTCTCTCTCTCTCTCTCTCTCTCTCTCTCTCTCTCTCTCTCTCTAAACCTCGCCTGCCACCCAAAAGCCAAATTCTGCGTTCTTGGCAGTTACTGCAGATTCTTCCCCTGAAGTTGCCAGCTGCCCAAGTCCCTGTCTTAAGTGCTCAGCTTTTTACTTGGGCACAAACCCATCTAGTGGCAGACACATCATCACCCCTCGCCTACACCCTATAAAGTCTCCCTGCTTTCGTTTGTGGACCTGACTTCTCCAGCTTTCATCTCTGGGACTGGAGAACCCACCCAGGGCTGCTTTGCTCAAATAAACCTGTTGTCATACTTTTTAAATTTGGCTTGGTCTGGCTTACGGTGTTGGAGGAGAAACCTATTGCTGGGGAGCAGAAAACCTATTTATTTCATTAGCCCATTTGTTGAATGGAAGTTTCATTTCCTTGGGGGTTAATTTCTGTAGTTCTTTGTAAATGAATGTCACATTTCATATATTTAGAATTAATATGCAGTCAGAAAGGGCCAGTAATAGCCAAAATTCACCAGGTGGTGGTGGTACATGTCTTTAATCCCAGTACTAGGGAGGCAGAGACAGATAAAGTTCTGTGAGATCAAGGTCAGCCTGATCTACCAAGTGAGTTCCAGAACAGGCTCCAAAGTTACAGAGAAATCCTGTCCCAAAAAAACAAAACCAAAACCAAAAAATATAGGAGACTGCTCTTTCATTTCCCAGATCCGAATAATCACACAGAAGCTATATTAATTACACCACTGTTAGGCCATTAGCTTACGCATATTCCTAGCTAACTCTTATATCGTAAATTAACTCATTTCTATTCGTCTGTATCGCCATGAGGCTGTGGCCTACCAGGTAAGGTCCTGGCATGTCCTTCCCTTTGGCAGCTACACAGCATCTCCCTGACTCTGCCTACTCTCTCCCTATATCTCTGTCCAGATTTCCTGTCTGGCTTTACTCTGCTAAGTCATTGACCTAAGCAGCTTTTTTATTAACCACTAAAAGCAACACGTATACAGAAGGACATCCCACATAATAAAAAAAAATCATCCTAAAGAGTAAGCACACAACTTGGGGAAATCATAATATGAACCTCAACTTAAACTGTGTGTGTGTGTGTGTGTGTGTGTGTGTGTGTGTAGCAAAAACATGCAGCGAGGGGGGAAAAACTATTTAACAAATAGTACTGGCAAAACTGCCCCCCTGCAGGAGAATGGACCTAGATCCATATCCTTCACCTTGTATAAAGATCTATTAAAGTGAATCAAAAACCTTACTTTAAATCCTGAAATGCTGAAGTGTCCAGAGCAGTGGTTCTCAGCCTTCCTAATGCTGCAGCCATTTAATACAGCTCCTCATGTTGTGCTGACCCCAACCAAGACATTATATTTGTTCCTACTTCACATCTTCATTTTGCCATTGTTATGAATTGTAATGTAAATATCTGATACGCAAGATATTTGATATGTGAAACCCATAGGTTGAGAACTGCTGTTTCAGAGGAAAACATGTGGAATATTCTTCAAGACATTGAGGTAAGTGAAAACTTTCTAAAGAAAACATCAACCGCACAGGAACTGACTCCAAGTATCCTAAATGGAATCCTGGGAAGTTTAAGTTTCTGAAGCAGAAGAAACTATCAGCAGAGCATACAGACAGCCCACAGGATGGGAAAAGTTCTAGCCCAGCTACACAGGCAGGGGCCAACATCCAGAATTTACAAACAACCACAAAAACAAAGGGTTTGATAAGCAGAATGTTTTGTGACATGAGTTGAGTAATGCAACCAAAGGATTTGTAGGAGAGATCAAGAGAAATACAGAACGCCAGATATGCCAAGCCCGGTGGCGCAAACTGCAATTCCAGCTGTTCGGCGGCTCACAAGTTCAAGGCCAGCCCAGACTACAGAGTGAATAAGAGGCCAGTCATGTCAGTGTACTTTGACCCCGTCTTAATAAGCAAGCAAACGAATGAAGGTTTGGGGATGTATCTCAGAGATGAAACTCTTGCCAAACATGCATGAAGCCTAAGTTTAATCAACAGTATCTTTGACAGAGAGGGTGGACAGCCAGACTGGGCAGGTTGTGACACCATGTAAGGGCATCATGAGTGACAGAACTCCTTTTCCCACTCTTTGACACACACCTAAAAAAAACTCGACCTCTAAAGTCAAAATTTATCTTTTCAATTAAGAGCTAAGGGCCCCAATCAGGAGAACCTCGTTGACTGTGGGCTCAGAAGGCTGTTCCCTGAACAGCCTGAGCCCTGTAACTATACTAAGAATAAGGTGCAGGTAATGTATTTTTAAATATGACTTCCTTGATCATTTAATCCCAACCCTCATTTACAAATGAAGAAGCTGGAGACACAGAGAAGTCAAGACAATACAGGCTATCCCAGAGGGCAGGCTATCCCAGAGTACAGGCTATCACAGAGCCAGGACAGAATGTAAGTCCTTCCCAACCCATCAGGCAACTTCTTGAAGACTGACTGTTCTTAACCATTAGGGGTATAGTGTATGTGAATGCATGTGTGCATGCGTGTGTGCATGCGTGTGTGCAAGTGTGTGCAAAAGGTGTCTCGGTTGCCATTCCCCAGGTGCTGCCCACCTTGAGTCTTTTTTATTACTACCTTTAGTTTTTGAAATGAAAATAAAATTTTATTATTCTCCCTCCTTCTCTTTCCTCCCTCCAACCTCTCCTATATACTCCCTTGCTCTCTTGCAAATTTGTGGCTTCTTTTTCTTTGACTGTTGAGAATACATGTATATATAATATGTATGTATGTATATATCCTGCTCAGTCCATAGCCCACCCTGTTTTTTTGGAAACAGGATCTGTCTCTCTCTCGCACATACACACACACACACACACACACACACATACACACACACACACACACACAGAGTTGGGGCAAGTGTCAGGAGAAGTAAGGAGACTCATTCCTAGAGCCAGCACACTGTCATGCTGGAGACATGAAGCAATCTCCCTGACCTCCCTGACATAACCCTGTAATGTGGAGGCAGCATAAAAATGTTCTAGACCTGCAGAGCTGTCCCTGTGCTGATAGGGCTGCAATCACATTGCCCTAAGGGAGGGGTGGTGGCATTTCCTCTGTTCCCAGGCAACACCTGAGGCTTCAGGAGTCCTAGCCAGCTTACTCTGGGATCTTTGGTCTCTGCCTTCCTATACTAGAATGACAGGGAAGCCACCACATCCACCGGGCATTTGCCTGGTTCTAGAGATCCAAACTCCAGGCCTCTTCTTGTGCAGCAGGACCTTTAACTCTTGAATTGTCTCCCCCCATCCCTGAGCTAATTTTTTTTAGAGAGAAACAACTCAACTCACCCTTTCTCACAACTTCATGATCAGATCTCCCGAAATGTTCTTCCTTCTGCTGGCCCACTCTTCCCATTTGCCTTCCCATCCACCTGCAATCTATTCCTCAGCCCCTCATATAGATTCCAGGCTAAATGTTACCTGCTCCAACAAGTCTCTGGAACTACTGGATTCCTGCTGCCTCCCCATGGTTCTAGGCCACACAGCCCACAAGGACAGGATCTATCCACTTCATTCATCCTGCAGCTCCAGATGGAGTCAAGAAGATGCTTGTCACACTCAACAGCGAGTTCGTGGATCGTCCACTTGAGGAGCACTGCATGCTAGGCCTACAGGACACAGAGATGCAGCCCAGCGGAGCCCAAGGGAAAGACCGTAGAGGAGACTACCACAAAAACCATATCTAGATATGGACTGGGTCACCAAGGCTTAGAGGAGGGAGAGACCAACAGAGGAGGAAATGTGAGAAGGGATCCAGGCAGGAGTGGGAGTTGGAGTGGGGGTCCAGCCCAGGCAAACACTAGGAGGTGAGACTGGGCTTCAGGCTCTTGTCAAGAGTGAGTGCCATCCTTGCTCAAGGCAACTGGCCCCAGCAAAGTGGCCAGTTGTCTAAAAGATAGCATTTCTCCACAGCTCACCACCACCTCAAAGTGAAGACAATTCAGACGCCATAGGCTTTGTCATGGCTCAAAGAGGGACCTGACGATGTTGGCATCTGAGTCCAGCCCATCATCTCCAGGAAGCCATGGCCTTGCTCATACTTTGGGTCCCAAACCCTGGGACTTTTAAACAACTCTCTGGAAATACACAGCACATACCCTCATGGAGCTGGGAAGGGACGGTCACAGGAAGGGACTCCCTTGCCCTGATGGCCAGGATTCTTGTTCTTCTGGTATTCCAACCAGCAGCAGGGAAGCCCACAGCACGGACACACGGGGTTGTTTTGTCATTCCATCCCAGACTGAGAGTGGCATCCAGTGCTACTGTGGTGTGGTTCAGGTTTTGATACTTCCCGAGCATAACTTATCCAGTGCTTCCCACTCTGCCCCATATCATAGGAATGACCCATTGATCTAGAAGAAATCCATGTTGATCAATGTGGGGCAGGCTGCATATAGAAGGCAAATTACACAAATATGAATTACAGATAACTATGATTAATCCCTCAGCCAGACAGAGCCCCCGCTTCTCACCGTGCCCTTGGGCAGCACAGGTGACAGGGCTGAGGACAGCACTCGGGATGGCCGCCCCATCCAGCCATTCATTACCATCATGTCCCCATCACTGCGCCTCCTGATGAGATTATTGATCCCAGGAAATAATTATATGAAGTGTACCGTGTAAGCTCTGGCTATTGTCTTTGGAAGTGCCTACCGCAGGGGGGGGGGGGGTGTGAGCTTTTGTCATTTTTAGAAGAGTCTCACTTTTATGAATGAACTACCGGCAACTTTTCAAGCTAACTTTTACTGGGACAAAGCAAGAGCGAGGGGGAGAGGAATAAACACAGGAGAGGAAAAGAAAAAAGAAAAAGAAAAGCAAATCTCGGTATCTGGGGGAAGGCAGGGAGTCTAGTACCCAGTAGATGGTGCTGTGATCAAATTCTAAACCTGTCACGGACTCTCAGCAACCGATAGAGGAAGTGAGGGGAAATGACAAGCCCGTCAGTGTTAAAGGCATACAGTTAAATGGCTTCGGCCATTTCCCTCACTTTAAATAAAGATTAATCATGACGGTGACGACGACGACGACAGCGACGGTGAGGAAAAAGGAGGAAGGAAGCAAAGCTCCCAGCTCGGGACCGTCGGCTCCAGTGGACAATGTGAGGTGAGAGAGACCGGGTGGTCGGAGTTACAGAGCCTAACAGACTTGTCTCCCCTCTAATTCCAGACCCCTCCCCCCCCCCAGTTTCCAGACCACTCCAACCCCATGGAAACCCCTGGAAAGTCAGACAAGGGTAAGAAGAGGCGTTGGCACCGTGTACTGACTGACACCCACGGCATCTTCAATTCTATTTGCATATGCTTTTCCACGTAAAGAGATCTACCTGAAAAACTGTTCGAGTTTTTTGCATAAATAGCAGGAGTGGAGCCAAGCACGGAAATGAGCGTCAGTTTCTCTGACGCTGCCGGTGAGCTCGCTCCAGTGTCCTTCCAAGATGTCGGCCCGTCAGTCTGCGAAGGCAGGGCCGTCTTTGTGGGGGCAAATGTTCCGGGGGGGTGGAAAGCTGGAGAGACAGGTACCGACCTCCCCGCCGAGAGAGAGGAGACTGTGAAAGAGTAGGAAACACAGGGTGCTAGGATTTTTTCCCCGTGACCCCAGGAGTGCAAGCCTCCTCTCATAGATACCCAGAGGTATCATTGACAAAGGGCCGGCGCGTCCAAGAAAGCATGCGCACAGTGCTCAATAGTCATCGATTCATCGAGGTAGAATGGTTAGGGCAAAGGTCAAAGCCAGGTGAGTGCAGCTGAGAGGCAGGCTGACTGCTGGAGGCAGTGATGGGCTGGAAATGACCCCTGAAGGCTCAGGGTTTCAAGGACAGTGAGCTGAAGGTGGGCAGCCGGCTCTCCACTCCTGGTACCTCCAAGCTGTTTTCCCTTATCCTTGTCCCCTAAATGCCACAGGATAACACTGTCTACTTGGCATTGGCCATGTATTAGCTGTTACAAGGCATCTAGGAATGGATTAAAGTATATGAGTGGGTAAGAGTGTAATTGTGAACAATTCAAGCACTCTTGGTTTTTGCTCTCCCCTTCGACACTGAGGAACAGCTGCATGTTTCTATAAGGAAGGTGCTCGGTGTTCAGGGCTTCCTTTCTGGGAGCTGCTCAGTTGACCTTCGTACTATCCCAAGGATAAAATCGTCCAAAAGGAGTAAGTAGGGCAGTAGGATGGGAGAAAGTAGATCTTGTGCTCTGAGCTGAAATCCCAACGTGCAACTAAGAAAGGAGGAGGAAGAGGAAAAGGGTCAGGTAGTAGTCAGGAGGTGGGCATCAAAAGACCTGGCATGGGAGGAACAAGATCTCATTAAGAATTAGATGGAGAAATAAAAGCCCAGGGCAGAGACCCTTCCTCTCCCCTAAGCTCCTCGAAGGGAGGAACTGGATATCCCATAGTGTCTCATAGGAAGAGCGTAAGCTCAGCAGGTATAACCCCAACTTCATTATCAAGACTTCATTTCCTGAGCACTGCTCTAAGGGAGAAAAAGAAAGGAGAAGCAGAAGTTCGAACCAGTGACAGAGCTCGCAGGCACAGCAGTTTGTGTGGGAAGGGCCAGTCATTGTTTGTTTTGAGATGGGACACACACACTCAATTTCCCAGGCTGGCTTTGAACTATGAACTTTGCAGTGGCTGAGATGACAGGCCCTCACCATCAGGCCTAGTTCCTTCAGTATAGCTGAGCTGTCTGTTCCTGACGAGGCACTGGGAAGGAAGAGGCACCGAGTTCAACGCAGGATTCTGGAATCTCTGGGCCTCTCTTCTGACTGGCTGGCCCTGGTCGTCTTCCTCACCTCAGTAACCAGCAGCCATCCAGCTGCCGCCTTCTATGTGATCTGACCAGCCTTTCCCATCAGGTAAGCATTTAGACTTGCCTAAATGTTTTTGGCATCTCTGGATGCGAAACCACAACAAAGCCCGGAAACCTGTTCATAAATCACAAACACTCATGCAGCATGGCTCTCGTTCCTCCACCACGGCACTGTGGATGCATCTCCTCAGGCTGTAGAATTCCATCTAGTCCACAGCAGGTTCCCGCTAATGAGAGGTTTCAGCATCCTGACTCTCCCAGGAGTATGGGAGTCCCTTCTAAACATAACCCCGGTGCCATGAGCAGGGGTGGGGCGCTGCCCACATCACAATCCTGCACCTTCACTTGCTGATTCTATGTCCTCAACCCTGGTGTGTTGCGAATCTGCCATTTAGGAGTGGCACCCAGGTAAGTTTGATGATTCCTGCAATCACCAGTTTTGTTTTTGCTAGCATGTTCCTCCAACCACCGGAAGTTAGGGATGTAACCTGGGTCAGTGTGGTATACGGAATACAGGCTGTCTCTCTGGTACCTAAAAAATAAGAGGTGGGGGTCATTGTTCCACCTGCCAAGTCCTGGCCTTGCCTTTGAACTACAGTCCTCCTCTGTGTCCCTCACAGTGAGTGCTCCTGAAACGCTCCCTGAATAGATTCCCAACTGGATAGAGGGAAAGTAATATCTAAGTGGCTAAGGACTCTACCACAAGGGAGCAATAACAAATCCTAACTCCACAGGGATCACCATCTAGTGTCCGCTCAGCTTCCCAAGCCAGAGTCTAGCTTTGACAATAATGAAAACTACAACTTGACCCCCACACCCACTTCCAAACAGGATGCCGACCTGCTTCCTGGGTCTACGCTGAGGGAGATTCTGAGCAAGGAGCTGTGAGGGGGAAAGACACCGTTTCTGACTGCATGGAATGTAGCCTGGCAGGGACCCAGAACTGTAAACAAGTAATTACACAGATGAGCATTTAATTACACGTGTGATAGAGGCCGAGAAGGAGGGGAGAGGCGGGGAGCCTGCAAGCAATGGGGCTACCTAACCTCATGGAGAGCAGGGGTCCCTAAGAGAGCGGGGCTGTGACTGAGGCCAAGAGCAACTTAGAACACCAAGAAGGAAAGACAAGAGATCAAAAGGGAGGTGGGCTGGTTGATTGACAGGCTGATCATACGCACTTCCTCTGGACAGCTCTTCCCTGGTGGCTTCTGTGGCTGTTGCAACAATGTAGCTGGGGGCATGGAGGTGCCTCCCTCCCTTAACAGGTGTGAAGGACTTTCTTGAATCCTCAGCCCTGTCAAGTACCCAGTCTTACCTACTACAGCCTCCTCAGGCCCACAGGCAAAGCCCTCGGGCTTTCTTTCCCAGAATCCCTTTCCCCATGTGCTTCTGGGATAAGATCCCAATGGTGAATATGGGAGTCAGACCTTGACTCCAGGTGCAGCTGCCCAAGGATGGATGTGCCCCACAATCAGGTCTGCCAGCTAAGGTCAGCTCACTGTCCTTGGAGCTGAAGGTGGATGAGGCTGACAGAGCTGCCCTCCCTGTTCCCAAGTTAACCGAGGCCAGAAGAGGAATCTCCTGCTAAGTAGCTGCTTGTCTGCCTGCCCTTTCCTATTGTCCTGCAGAATCCATTCCTGCGATGAAGTCCCGCTTCTTCTAAATCTGGAGACCCAGCCTGGAAGAAAGGGCTCCTGCCATGAAAGCATTTGGAGGCAGACTGCAGCATCTTCTCTGAGGGTTTGCATTTCAAAGCTGGGAACAAAGAGGACAGATGTGTGGATGTCCTTGGTCACCCTGCAGGTGAACACAACGTCAAGAACGGGTCCTGTAAGGGCTTTCCTACAGCAAGGTCTTCACAGCCAGAATGGAACCCTCAGCATCGTCCTGCTGCCCCTGAGATTCTGCTCCGCCCCAAGGAGGGGAAGGACGAGAAGGACTAACTAATCTCCCAACAGTCATGCTTCTGTCTAAGAGAGCACTTCAAAACTAGGCACAGAACGGGTGCAAAGACACTTGTCGCTTTTGATGGGTGAGAAGTGGACTTTTTCCTCTCCCGTTGCCTACCTTTCCTCAAGGGAGGAAGGGCTTCTTTCTCCAGGACGCAGACTTCCCAGGGTGCTGCTGACACAGGGCCTAGGCTCATCTCTGTGGAGCCCAGGGTAGGAGGGTAGAGGAACTGGCACTGCTCCAAAGACAAGAAAGAGGGTGGGGAAGACAGGAGATGGTGAGGAGGGAGGGGGAGAAGGGAAGAGAAAGGGGAGGCTCTTCATTGATTTTTCTATACCATCTCTTTCTATGCTTTCCCCAATTTTTAGTTGAATAAATTTTTAAAATACAAATGAGACTTTTTAATAAAATTATTTTTAACAAAAAAACTAAAATTTTCACAAGTTAATCCCAAAGTTAGGGTCCAGAAAAATTCTGTATTTGAGAATTGCCGTATTTTTCAATAGAGTAATGAAACATGGGAAAACATCTGCCTATGGCAACTAGAAAGCTCAAAGCCAGACTAAATATTGAGGAACAGCAGCGCTGGGGACCCCCCTCTAGGTAAAAAAAAAAAAAAAAGAAAAAAAGAAAAATTTGCTTCATCTAAATTCCATTTCTGTGGTTAATTTTTTAGCATTTACTCTGTATATGTGTATGAATTTACATCCTGGCACTTATAGTGCAAGGGTGATCTTAAAAATATAAACAGGACAACAAGCTAGTTCCGTGGGTAAGGGTGATGGCTGCCAAGCTTGATGACTTGAGCTCACGTTCTGGGTCCTACATGGTAAAAAGAGAGAGGAGACTCATACAAGTTGTCCTCTGCCACAGTGAGCACACGTTCACCCCACACGCATATATACCCACCCAGCCCTATACATACACAAAGGTATAAATAAAATTAAAATATAGTGCCGCACATAAATACAGAAGCAAAAGCACAAAGAGAAGAGAACAGGAGGACAGGCATGGTCTAGAAGGGTGGCACTGCAGTTAAAAGCATGCATCGCTCTGGCAGAAGACCCAACTTCAGTTCCCAGCACCCCACATCAAGCTGCTCGAACTGTCTGGAACTCCAGTTTCTGGGGACTCGATGCCCTCTTCTGGCCTCCACAGGCGTCTGCCCACATGAGCATGGACCCATACACAGACACACGCATGCAATTAGAAATAAAAATAAAATACTTTTTTTTTTAAAGAAGAAAGGGTCAATACAATCATAGAATCAAGCCTTAGCATGCAGGAATGCAGGCAAGAATCAGGGCTGAAACATTCCCAGTCCCTGAAGAGGAGCTCGCTGGCCATTGGTGGCACTGGGCTCTCATTTCAAATAGGCACCATTTGAGAAATGCCCTGCTCTGAAACATGGAAAAATGAGAAATTATAGGCCTATCTAACAAATCAAAAATAAATGAAGTAACAACATAAAGGTAGATTTACCGTTATTTATAATTTACCATTTTTACCTTGTTTTCAATTGTCTCTCGTCCTCTTCATTTGAGGAGCCCATTACATTTTATTATGCTAAACCCTATCTTCTGTCACATAAATTATAGTTAAAGATCTTAATATTAAAGCCTCTTAGCTCAGAGATCATATTTCAAGCTTTGTTCAAACCAGACGTTAATGCTGGAATTGAACACAGAACGCTCTGTCTTCATTACCCACCATCTCAGAAGTATAATACAATTTTTGCTATATATGGCACAAAAATGCCTCTTGGTATAACACTGAATTATGGAGATATATTGATTTCTGCAGTATTTTGACAAAACAATAAAACTAAACCTGTTAGCTGCTAAACAGACACCCAGACATCAGCGCGGCCATGATAGCAGCAGTCATGAAGATAAAGACTCCATCTAGCCCAGTTCCAGCAGGAAACTAGTCAAACCCTCGTCTGCCCCACCAGTTCCTGCTGCACACACAGCTGTCAATTTCACTGTCCTTTCTCCCCAGGAAAGTGAAGAGGGAGGAAGGTTTGTCATTGGCTCAAATCAGAATCCTAAACTTCACTTACCAGTTGGGGGACCTTGAGCAACTAATTTAAGTTCTGTGTGACTGGGTCTCTTCATGAGTCAAAGGTACAATATAAACCCAATGGGCTTCATTTATGAGTTAATACACACACACACATACACATAGACACACACACACACAATGCACCCAACATACCCTTGACCCAGCAGGTACCTGATAAGCAATGACTTGCCAAAATGATTCTTCAAATAAGGTTGCACAGACAGCATGAGGCACAGTAGGCACAGTTAGGAGAACCGACCACACTGTATCCTTCCTTGGTCTTTCTTTCCTCCAAGATTCTGGGGCTCATCTTGCCTGCTTTCTGTCTCCAGTATGCAGGTCTGGCCAACTCCAGAGGGTTATTTGGGGACAAAGTACAATAAGAGATATAACTGTGCTTTGCAAAGGAAAAACGCTGCTCACGCATGAAGGATTATTACCACAAATCAGACTTACCAGCACCCTCAGAGTGCTGTGTCGTTCCGAGTCAGGCATTGGGCCAGCACAGAAAAGGGACTTTTCAAAGATAAATCAGTGTGTCCTCCCCCGCCCCCCCCCCCAGTAATGGTGGCAATAACAGCAGCGGACTGGGCATCTAACTTTCCCTCAGCAATAAGGCAGGGTTGCCACGGTTGCAGTTTGCAGGTATTAAGCACCTACTATGAGCCAAACCCCAAATACACTGGCATGGTGATCTCATTTCACCCGGTGACTCCTGGGAACATGGGCACTGGTATAATGCGTGTTTCTTAGTACTGATTCTAAGAGGGAGAGGTCCAAGGATTTACCCAAGCACCGCGGCTGCCGAGGGGTATGAGATGCCGCCTTCTCCATGCTAGCAGGCTCCACCTCCAGGCTCTGAGGAGGCTCCTGACCAGGTCTTCAGGTCGGTGCAGGACACCTGAGAAGCTCTGAGGATTTCAGTTTTTCCACAAGTCACCACAGCCAGTTGTTGCATTTGAGGAAGAGAGGGGATTTTGAGACAAGATCAGGGCTTGAGTCTTAGAGTCCCCAGTGCTGGGCTGAGTGATCCTGCCCAAATCCCCTTACCATCTCTGATCCCAAGCAAGAGCCCCACACTTTCTGATCCTCACCCCATGCAATACACCAGTGGACGCTGTTCGGAACATCTGTGTTCAGACCCGAGGCTACCGCAATGCAGGAACTGCAGTGGTTTCACCGTCTGTACACAGTTTCCGAATCTTTCATGGTTTAATCACAGAAAATAGCCTTTTCCTATTTTCCTAACAACATTGCTCCGCGAGTGAGTAGCACATTAATGTATCTTTTGGTTGTATAGTATTGGAATGTTTAACTTTAAAAACCTTTCCTTGAGTTCCTGGCTTCAGTTTCATTTTTTTTAAATAAAAGCATTAAATTAATCTTGACTTGGGATTAGGATGGAATTTTCAATGACTTCTGTAATGGTCTTCCTTCATACACACTACCACCATTTTGTATACATATTTATGCAAAACAGTTTTCTGGGCACTGACATAAAATGAAAAGATTGATCAACTCTGGAAACCACTGAGGACGCTCTGCATTCTGAAGCACAAATATTCAGCCAAGATAGACTATATATGTATGTATGTGTGATGTATGTATATATATATATATATATTGTTTTATCTTTAATAGGTAAAGTTATATGCATATCAAATAACTGTTTTCAAATAAATTTTCATGGTTTAGTATCAGTAAATATTTTATTTGTATGCATATTTTGTATACTTACGTATGCATGGTCACACAAAAATCTCTAGGGGACAAAGGGGTCATGGCCAAAAAGACCTTAAGAAGCATGAGACCAGTAAAATGGCTCAGGGGTACATGAACTTGTCTCCATTTGGACATCCTGGGTTCTTTACCCCAAGAACCACATGATGGAAGGGGAGAATTGGCTCCACTCTGCCATGCCAAGGTGCACACTCGTCTCGCACGCACAGAACACAGAGAAGCACACAATTAGGAAATGTGATTTTAGAAACTTAAATGTAAGCCCCAGTTTACAACAAAATGTTATTCTTTCACAGGTCTGGGGGCCAAAGCACCAAAATCAAGGTAGCAACTGGACAGAGCGCCCCCTAGAGGCTCTAAGGAGAAATTCTTCCTGTCCTTCCTCTTCTTCCTTCCTATTCAAATAACCTAAGATGGACTTACCTTGAAGTCACCTTCACAGGTTCTGAGGGTTAAGACGTGGATCCGTGTTTGGGGGACCACCTGCCAGCCTGCTACCCTGACACACAGACGTCCTTCCTGATCTGCTTGGTTCAATCACAGTACACGCGGTGCTGGTTAGTTTTGTGGTCAGTTTGACACAAGCTTGGGTCATCTGGAAGAGGGAACCTCTATTGAGATGCTTTCATCAGACTGGCCTGGGGGAGAGTCTGCGAGGTATTTTCTTAATGATTGTGGTGGGAGGGCCCAGGCCACTGTGGGCTGTTCCAACCCCGGGGCAGGTGGTCTTGGGTTGTATAAGGAAGCAGGCTGAGGAAAGCCTTGGGGAGCAAGCCAGTAAGCAGCACTCCTCCGTGGCCTCTGCCTCAGTTCCTGCCTCCAGGCTACTGCTTGAGGCCTGCCTTCCCGTGGTGGTGGGCTGCGAAGTGTAAACTAAATTAAACCTTTGCTTTCCCGCGTTGCTCTTGACCGTGGTGTATGTGCTAATCTGAATGAGAATGGCCCCCATAGGCTCATATATTTGAACGTTTAGCTCCCAGTTGGTGAACTGTTTGAGAAAAATTAGGAGGCGTGGTCTCCAGAAGGCAGACCTTTGTTGGAGGAGACGTGTCACTAGGAGGCAGGGTAGGGGGGTTTGAGATTTCAAAAGCCCATACCAGGCCCAGCCTCTCTCCTCGCCTCATATTAGGGATCAGGTGGATGCTCTCAGCTACTGCCCCAGCACCAAGCCTGTCTGCTGCTGCCATCCTCCCCAGCAGGAAGGCCTCTGAAATGGAAGCAAGTCTCAATTAAATGCTTTCTTCTAAAAGCTGCCTTGGTCATGGTGTTTCCTTGTAATAATACAAAAGTAACTAAGCATTTATCACAGACTAGAGAGCAAACTAAGGCAACAGACCTAACGTGGCACTCCCTACGTCTAGATGGAGAGGCAGATTCTCCTGCTCCACAACTCTTGGGTCCTCGCCTGCAAAACTGGACCAGTCACAGGAGCTGTCCCCAGGGTCTGTTGTGAGGATCCTGGTTAGGAAAAGCTTACCCTTGTGCTGAGCACGTAGTGAGCACTCAATAAATAAATAAATAAATAAATAAATAAATA